GGACAAATTAGTAGACCAGCAGAGTCTAGCGGAAAGGTTTTGTGCATACAAATAGCTTCTGTACAGACATGCGAACAGCCTCCGGAATGTGAAACGTGGTGTTCCCCCATTAATATCAGTCGATGGATGTGCTCAAACCACCGAGGATGCAGCCAACGTCCTACGACTACAATATGCTTTAATTTTCCGACGTGCTACTAGCATTTGTAACATACCTGCCCCATCTTCCCAGATGCCAGTATTTACACACGTCACGTTTAGTTCAGCGACCATTTTGAGGAAGCTGCCATCGTTGCGCCCTCATACTTCCCCCGGAATTGACAACATTCCCACGAAACACTGCAGGTAGCAGCTACGAGGATCGCTGAACCACTAACGAGATTTTTTCAAACATGCATGGACGAACAGTCGGTCCCTAGCAGGTGGAAGCAAGGCATCGTTACCTCGATTTTCAAAAGTGGTAGCCCTTAAGAGCCAGCCAACTATCGCGTAGTAACTCTGCTCCCGGTGCTCCCTAAGGGGATGTAATCGATCTTAGCTGAGGCCGTTATGAGCAGCAGGGGTTCCGTCAGCATTGGTCATGTACCATCAACCTACAGATTGCCGAGGTAGTTTGACCGAGATAGTCGACAGTGGGACCAAAATCACAAGGCAAACTTATTTGGCTGTGCCAAGTTATACCAACCCAATCGCCATTCAAATCCCTACTCTCGTTCTATTTGGTGGAATCGCTTCCTTGGACAGAGAACCACAGGCGCCCATGGTGCATCGGCTACCGACACTGTACTTGGTAGGAGCTAAGGCGTCCCAACTGCACCCCATGACAGTGTGTCTGAGGTCCTATTGGCTTAATTCCCAAAGCTATACACGCACACCTACACAGCTGCACAAGTAAGCTGCGCAAGCAAGGCTCAAAGTAATTGAGTAAAACCACAATTTGTATGCCCAACGACGCAACTCCTTTGCCGTTCAGATTACTTCTGTTGCCCAAAGGGACAACTTGGCCGTGATATGTGTAGTCAGCGGCCAACTACCCACCCCACCTTATTTTCTGGCGAACGGTTGTCCCCCAGCTGTACACACTACTAACCTAACGAGACAAGTTAGATTTTATCCATTCCTTCTTTCAATAAAATACTGCAGGTTCGCTAGCGGTTTCAATGTGAGTGTACTGGCACAGTGTGGTGGAAATTGAATAAGAGGACCGCCTAACATCTCTTTCGAAGGGAATTGCATGGCGGCAATCAAATACCCGTCAGATGTATTACCATGCCTTTAATTGATGAATATATCGTTCCGCCGGGAGTTGTTTGTCGCTCGATCAGATTTCACCTCTCAGCTTCGTATGTGGGCCATGTGGTTGGAATACGATCGTCTTCCAATTTACGTACAGCTATACCCGGATAACCGACATCAATATGAAATTTGATCGACTGAAGTAAAGTGTTGGGTTGAGCACATCGCTGACATTCCATTGCGCTTGATAACTTTTGGTTCCTTGCAGGATTGACAAACTGATTTCGAGATTAAACGCCTGCTTGAGATGCGCATCTAAGTGAGAAATTGATTCCGGTTTAAATATGTGGTGGCTAAACCAACATAACGTAACTCATCGGTCTCTTAAAGAGTAGATTGCAATACCGTCAACATTATACAATTTGTTCCACTGCGCCACACTCGTTCCCTCGTCGCAACCTGATATATCGTTTTCTCGCTCACGCTTTCTTTAGGGGAACACTTGACTATATTCCCAATCGAGATGATCTCGCCAGGTACCCATACCTCTTATCTACGTGTTCCAGAATTACCCACTACCGTGTATGTGTTTGTCTTTACTCCCGAACCGTGTCGAATGCCTGCTGCCTCTACGTCCCAGCCTTCGTGGTTTGGACAAATCGTAAACTAGCACCTACTCCCACACTCCGATTGTACAATACTAACGCGAACGGATACCTTATGCACCTAGAATTGCGAGTGACTGAGGTCCGTGCAGCGAGGTCTCCGCTACCACCCACTTGCTTTTGTCCACGCCGGCATCCTACGTTTCGTTGGCCTAGCTTCAGTGTTATCACTAGTCACTACTCACCTCTTAAAGCGCGATCGCTCTGCACCTTAGGTGCGTCACTGTTTAAAAGCCAAAGTGAGTACCTGTCCGAATGCTATTGGTTGACTTAGGATTAACCACAAGGAACAGTACGCATTTATTTGCCTGTGCATAAACAGAATGCATTCTGATATATTGAAAATAGCTTGAAACCGATTGGGAACTCATGATTTCAGAGGGGTTTGAAAACGGTTGGTTGGTAGAGCTTATGGACAATGTTTCGCTTTTGACACAAACGCTTCGTCAGTTCAAGTGGATCAGTCGAGGATTGGTATAGCGCTTACAGAAAACTGGGGAAATAATCACGACAAATAGGATGTAATTAGAAGATTAATCACATTATAATCAAAGTGCCACTTCAAGTGGTGCAGGGACCTGTCCGAGGTGGTCCGCGTTGCTGGGTCAGACGTAAGCCTACGTAACTGATGGGTTTAAGATGATGTGATGTTTATTCTCTGCTCGGATTCATCCGCCGACGCTGTTCAGCCAAGTCAGGTTAAGAAGGCCGACAAACGTTCGAAAGCACTACCCTGTCCATTTTGAACACGCAGCTATTCCCGCTGCTAATCTCTACCGCCTCAGAAGTCAGTCGTTTGGGCGTCGATCGCAACCCCTCATAATAAGCTCACCGTTAGCCAGGTCGATCTAATGAAATGTATTCATCGCGTTCGACGATACAGCCGGTTACCTCAATACAACCTTTATTTAAGTTAGTTACTCGGCGACCTGCTGTGTGCCCCTTCTGTTCTATCTTTGTGTCAATCACTCTTATGGTTTGGCCTATGCACACTTGAGCGGAGTATTTGCAACTAAATTTGTACATGGAATTAGTTATCCTGTCTGCGGGAACTGACTCCGTCACGTGCACCAACGCTGAGCCGAACGTTTGGACCATCCCTTATGAGCTAGAATGTGGATCCTTACGGATAAACGTAAGTCCCTTAAGGAGCATTTTCTCTGTACGTTGGAGGCAGAAGGATGGGAATAAGTGCATCAACTTAGTCACGACGGTCGTTGCCGTCCATCGCAGCTTGGTGGTATCAACCACAGACAGGCAACAATCTAGTTGCACGTTCGAGCTCCACACTAGTCAGATATAATGCGCACTGCTGACGATTTCCGCAAAATGGAACGGCAGCGTAGGGATTTTCGGGGTGCTTGACGGCAGTCTGACTGAGTCCAGTTGTTAGGGAATTCTACGTATACCGTTCAAATCTCTCCGCTACCCCCTTGTAATATTTGGCCCTTTGTTCGACTTTCCGGAGCCAAGCTTGCTGCCAAGGTAGAAAACGAGTTGATGTCGCATTGTTGACTACGTCTGCAGTGTGTGCTTCGTTCTGCTTGGTACGCTTTTCGATCCAGTTCCTAGCGGTTAAGCGGATTCACTGCGAGGAGAATACACAGCGGAACAACTTGACTGCGTACCTTTTGCATACAACCTCAAAAGTTACTAGCTCGGTCCAATAAACTTATGACTTCAAGTAATCATTCCGTAATTGTCAGAAGCTGATTTAGTATGGTAAATTTTCCCTCAAAAGTTGTCATTCGTTTCGCAGTTTGTTGTTACCGATGGATAAATCGAGGTACTTTACTTCTTCGCTATCGATATTTCCCTTCTACTCCGAAGTACGATTTGTTGGATAAGTAGCGCTTGCTGGTTTCATTATTCCCTTTGCCGGGTACACACGACCAGAATATTATTTATAAGTATTTGATCTTTCACTTGTCGCTGGCTTTCAGATAGTTTCATATGGCTCAACAAATCCAGGTAGATGCAGTTACAGCACAACTATGGGTTATCGCATTCAGGCCCTGCGTCCTTTGACGAAACGCCACCCTTGCCTTGGTGCCGTACAACTATCGTGATCGATTGGAACTTATCTCAACTTGCCCTTGCCTTACAAACTAGCCCGTTTCCGGAGTAACCTCACAGTACTTAGTCGGCTCCTAGTATGTTAGTGTGGGTTCGCGCTGATCTCTCTGTGTTCCTTCACCCGTGCTCACCATTATCCTTTTGAATCAACGGACGCACCACACAATGACGCAACACGCTGAACTGAAGTGTTCATCGTTTACACGGTTGTACAAAAGACGGGCAACTTCTAGCTTCGTAGTTTTGTCCACATCCTGTTCATCTGGATGTTGCTCAACAATTTTGCTGGCATTCAACTAAGAGAGAAATCTCGGCTGCCCGTCACGACGCTGGCTCTATCGGCAATTCATAACAACAGTACACGCGTTAATTTTTGTACTATTGGAATTATCTCCAAGTACATGTCTAAATTTTGGAGTGTTTGAGTCAAGTTTAACTTTTAAACCATAACCTACTCCTCTAGATCTGTTTGTATAGTGTTGTGTGAAGCTTAGGCGTTTTTATAGGTTGGGCACTGATAGCTCTCAACGTTGCGCTCCACGACAGGTTTCCTGTTCTTTGGCACTTGTCAGGCAGATATAGTGGGACTGCGGCTCCAACACGCGACATACAAGATGGCAAACGAAGTCTCTGTTAATAAGTCACAGGTTAACTGCGCAGGACTCTTGTCACAATACTTGATCATACCCTTACTCCTTTAACCGCTGTAACTAGCGTTGTCCAGTGTAACTAAGTGGCTTAATCTCTAAAGATTCGGCGGGTATTCCATTCGCCGCGGACTCCAGTTGCAGCACTACTGTATCTACCCGACGAATACTTGTTAACACGAAACCGGGATTAGAGCGAGTAAACCATACTGCACATCTCTTTACTTCAGTTGCAAGCTAATGCGGTGACCGCTTGCACTCTTGACCATACCACCCAATCATGCTACCGTTTGTTTTGGCGTCAACGGCATGCTAGTGGCCACCCGTATATATAACCTCAGGCATAAGGTCACATCGCCTTCGTGTGTTTAGTAGCATGGTGGAAGCCGGTGTTCAGTCACTTAATATACTTCATTTTAATGATGTTTATAATGTGGAAGGACAAAATGTCGAACCAGTTGCAGGTGCGGCGCGGTTCCGTACTGCATTGATGGCGCATGGAGCCGGTGAAGATAGCTGCATTGTGCTATTCTCCGGCGATGCTCTCAGTCCCTCCATTATCAGTAACATTACGCAAGGGAAGCACATGCCAACTATCTTGAATGATTTGTTCATCGACTGTGCTGTTGTGGGGAACCATGATTTGGACTTCGGCCTGGACATACTGTGTGAATGTATAGAATCGTCACAGTTTCCTTGGTTGGATACAAATGTGATGGACCGCGACACAAATCAACCCCTGCTCGACACAAAAGCCTACCACATAATAGAACGCGGCGGGGTGCGCATTGGAATAATCGGCTTGTTGGAAGAGGAGTGGATAGCCACACTCTCATGCGTGGATACTACTGGTTTGATCGTGCTCGATATGTGCAAAGTCGGACAAGAATGGGCAAAACGATTGAAGAAATCCGGTCCGTATGAGTGCGACATAGTAGTTGCGCTAACGCACATGCGATGGCCGAACGACAGAAAGTTGGCCGAAAAGGTTCCAGAAATAGACCTGATTCTTGGAGGTCACGACCATGACTACCATGTGGAGTGGTTGGACAAACCCAGCCAGGAGTGTCACACGAGAGCAATCATCAAGAGTGGCAGCGACTTTCGCACTTTTTCGAAGATTTCTCTAAATATTGACACTACGCAAAAATGTATTGCTGTGGTGACATTAGAAGAAGTCACAGTGGATAGTCGTTGGAAGCCAGACGGACAAGTGAGTCAGAATTTCAGTCACCGCCATTGTTGCCATTGCTCCGAATGAAAGTTGAAAGCTTCTATGCTCCGTGTTTACGTTAGGATTGATGTTGGTTTCAATGACGTTCAGGCTGATTTGCTCACCTATTCATTGAATCCTTGTACGTTCGACCATCGGTGCCTTCGCAGTTTGGCTCACATTTGGTGGGAACACCGCGTGAGTAACGAGCGTGTTAGATGCATTGTTTACGGCCTAAAAAAAGGGAATGAACCGCTCAGCACCGTCATTTCACTCACCAGGTTCCGATGGCTGGGCCACGTGTTGCGCATGCCAGCCCACCGACTCCCTCGACGTGCGTTGTTTGCTCACCGGGGATGTGGGTGGAAGAAGAGAAGAGGTGGCCAAGCGATGACTTGGTCCAGAGGAATGAAATCCCTCACTTCGGAACTAGCCTCGATTGGAGCTTCACGGCTCTTTGGTTGGGGTCCAAAAGACGATGAGCACGTTTGGCTGGATACACTTGCTGACATGGCAAGGAGCCGACCTCAGTGGCGTTCCTGTTGTGAGTTTCTTTGTCCCTCCCCATCCCTTTAGCCTCCCACTCCATCTACGATTTGATTTCGTAGGGTAAAATGTAATTAAATTGTTGTTTTTTGCCTAGTAGCCGGCTGGTAGCTTACCGGAACGATGCCTGTCTGTTGCTGGTAGCTCAGCTGGCATGCAACTGTCGTATTTATTTTTCCTTTATATATCGTACGTATGTATGTATTCCCTTTATGTATTGCGGTACAATAGCGGAGGTGTTTTACCACCTCTAGTTGACATGTATAATGATGATGATGATATGATGATGTACAAGACTGTGATTGTACCGCTGGCCCACTTTGGCCTGAATCTATGAGATATACCCATTACCGAATAATATGTCACGTTGATTCCGTACCCTAATTATGGAATTTGCTGTGTAGGAATAGTTATGAATTCTTATGTTGACATCTGCATACCGCGAGGGCTAGAAACCTGCCGGTGCAAAAGGGGTCTGTTTTAGTCTTCAGTAACATGTGTTTGGACATTAACTTTTTTTTGAAGAACTTGCCGATATATCGTGCAAGCACCCTCATACAAGAATCCAGTCCTTATGCATCCAGTGGAAATGACTAGTATGTATTGCCAATACTATCGCACCACGAACGGAATGAAGGGCTTATGATCCAAACTTTGCTAACTCCAGATAGTATGCTCTCCAGCATGAATCCTTTCATGCTAAGTACATCCGAAATTCTACTGTTTTATCTTATATTTAAAAGGATGTGACCAAGACAGTATGGGCTTCTCAGTAAGAGCCTTCAAACAGGAAAGTTAAAAACATTGTCCGCAACATATATGTCATGCGGAATTTGGTTCCGACCAAACATACGAAAAGAAATCCGTATACGTATCGCTAAAGCGCGATACGCATTTACTTGACCTGCCTGTTCGTCAGTATTTTAAACGAAAGATGATCAACAAGAAGAGTCAAACAAAAGGAGGACCGACAGTTCGTTAAAGGGAAAAAGCGACCTGATTTTCATTTGCTGACTAGCTTCGATTAGCGCCGCGTAGCCCGATCGGTGCACATTAGAGATGTTCACACTAGCTTGTAGGACCCAGTGTGATGCCTTCAATTGATGATGGCAATACTACATTAAACCTGTTGCAACAGATCATTCGTTTGCGATTGATAACAACCGGGAATGTGATCCAGTCAGGTTAAATGACGCTCATCTACTACCTCACAGCGTCTTCAGTGAAAACAGTTGGTCTGCCAATTATTAACACTTTGTCGCTGATTTGCGTCCCGTTTTCAGTGAAAGTTTTCACAGCATTACTGCGTGAGGTCTAATTGCAAGCGGCCAACACGTATCAAAAATAAAGAAACATTGTTACATGGGGTAAAGCCTTAAAGCTGTCAACGGGCATCAGTTTGAACTGAGCATCGAGAAGCTCGAGTGTCCCAGGCACGATAACTGTGCGGCGCAGTGTTTTGTTTGGTATTGGACAGCCGACCGTATATGATAAGATATGTGTTTACTTGCTATTATGTGGACTTGAACTGGGGTCATGGGATGCACCATCGATGGAGGTAGCCAAAGCAACACAAACACCTCAGGTTTCATAGGATCATTTGACAATAAAAAGCAAAAAAGAAGATCCTTCTCAGCTCCGTCACCCCCCATCGTTGCGCCAGTGGCTTGGGTCATTAAGAAATAAGTTTCCTCAGTACACCACTATGGCTGTATTGGAAACAGCCAGATCCCGACAGGCTAAAACAAAAATCCAACGGTTTCTTGAAACGTTCCTTTGTATCGGCAGCCACGACGGACGGCGGTAAGCGGTTAAGATCATCCACGATGCGAGGGGATAAAGCCAGGCTGGGTTGCACACGGCAACTCTTCGGTTTGAACAGTTACAAATTTGACCTCGTGCAGAACTCTCAGTATTGAAAAGAAAGAAGTCCTGTAATTCCCTCCCCAGGCCCCCAGTTATAATACTTCGGGTGAAAATCAAACTTCCGCAGTGACGACGGAAATCAAGGGAGAGAAAGTTCCATTGTTTGAGTCGGACGGGGCAGTTAGTCCCGCCGTAACGTCACACTGTTGGATCTTCTCAATGATATCCCATTCGGATTTGGTGACAGGATGTGCGGCAGGTAGTGTGTAATCGGGAATCGAGCGTACACGTGAAGTAAATATGAGCTGAAAACTCGGGCTCAGGCAAGCGAATGCTCTAGGTAAAGAATGAAATATCCTGTAAACCGCGACAATTCTCTTCCGGGTATCTTAGATAAACCTGAGGTCTGTGAAAACTATCACTCACACAGCCTTCTGCTGCGCGGCGTTTCTGAACAAGGAACCACCAATATGGTAGGCTCCAAATGAGTCAAGTGCACCAACTGGAAGAACCGAACATGTCCCACGCTTCAACAGCAAAGGTCACTTGATAAATCAATAAATTAGTAGGCTAAACCTCGATTGTAATCTGTTTGTGTCTTCCATGCTGGGGCCTATCAGCCGCATCGGGTGGTATGGATAGGCGTTTTGATACTGCCACGTAATTCCTCCAGTTTCCTCATTCGCCCCCATACGCATTTTCTACGTTATCGTCCGTTCCGGCGTCCTTTTATCACCGCCGCTTTCAACTCCGCCAATAAATGACCCACCCCACTTTGTCTTGAAAGACGTTTAGTTTCTAGTCTCAACTCTGAGGTAAACGCGGAGCGTTCTCCTGCCCGTCGACAAGCCTATGTCCAGACAAGTAGTCAAGTCCAGTTCAGTGTCTTTCATTTGGAGCCCTCTTTCCGCCATCAGATTGGCAGGCCTCAAAGCAAGAACATTGTTACCCATTGGTTGACACACAGCACCTGCCCGAACATTAGAGAACCTCGATCCATATTTGCTGCCTATCGGAAACCCGCTTACAAAACCGAGCTCCGTTTCTCACTCTGCGAGCCCCTTTACCTTGCAATAGCATTGCTTTCTTATTGCGCCTTTCCGGAGACGATGCAGTCTCGAGTACCAGTCAAGCTGCAATTGGTATTTTCCTGCGTCCCTGAGCTGAAGCTGATCTGGTTGACTGGATCCCAATCAGTAGCCGGACTGTGCTGTCCGACTGGCTGGCTCGTTCTAAGCTTCAAAGTCGCATGGGTCTAATAGGTATCTGTTTGTCCTCACTTCCTAAGCCCACAAACGGTAGCGATGTCTCGGTAAAAAACGACTTCTATCGTCAACTGAACGACTTGTTTCGCCAAAGAAGAAGCATGGATACTGTGGTGTTTGCTGAGGATCTGAACGTCCGTTGGAAAATTGTCCGCTGGTGACTGTATCTAGGCGGCCAGCATGGTGCAATCTGCCGTAATGATAACGGTGAACGGTTACTTCATTTGCTGAAGACGCTTGCATATTTCTTACGAGCACTAACTTCCAAAATAACACTCTCCCGACGGTGACCCAGCGCTCAATAGCCTCGAAGCAGCTGTAAAGTCCAAAAGGAACTTTGATGTATCATAAACCTGGATTGCTTACATGAGGACACGGTATCTCTATTCCCTATTTATCTTGCTCATTTACACTGCTTTACTGTGCCCTACAAGAGGTTGACATCTCGTATATTTATTTCTTTCAGTCGATCACTGACACATCCTTGACGTTTCAGGGTCAGTCTTATTATTATGTTACTGTGACACCGCCCAAATACTCGATCTGCCCCAGGCCGTGCAGTTTCTGCCCACTTGCATTACGATTGTAAAACCTATTCGTTAGTCATTTACTGTATTTAATATGACTTATAGAACCACGGTTACAGGATAATTCGTTTTCTTCTTCTACCCAGACCGTACGTTTAGGTTTATATGTTTGTAGTTCTAGTTTATTTTTCGCACGACGTACTTAGTTTAGGCTTAGTATCTTTGGTACACCAGCCATGGACGAAAATCGATCACACTATGACCAGTTATTGCTGGAGAGGTTAGGTCCAAAACTGTCGCTCGATTTGGAACACATATGTAGACAACGACCATGCACTTGTATTTTCTGATCTGCGGGTGAGTTTTGACGTACGCCCACGATGACTGTGAGGGCATGGATTCCAGTCAACTGGCGAAGCCAGCTGTTCTAAAGGAGTACCGCATTAAGCTAACGTTCTGGTTGAACAAGTGCTCACTGAAAAACGTTGAAAGTCACTGTTCGAATGTTCACCCGAATTTAATAGAAGCAGACAAATCTGCATGTAGTAAATACACCGGCCAAAATAGATATTGGGTCTCTTCGCGGTCTCTGGAGCTTATCGGTGCGAGCCGGCACATCCCACCTGGAAGTATACACAAAGAGTCTCACAAAGTGCTCCGGGTAAAACTCCGTGCTAACCTAAAAAGAAATCACGCACGTTTGCCGTCTCTTCGTGCGTCACAGTTGAATGTAGCCGCTGTTCTTGGTAACCATCAAGTTATTCCGTCTGATATGGGAAACGGACAGCAGGAGACA